GGTGGAGGTCTGGCCAGAACATTGTAAAAATGTGCACCATTTCAGCTAACCGAGTTGGAACCATCTTGAGCAGCTGGTACCCAAAACAGGTCTTAGAGCAGTGCTATCAGCATCGTGACGTCATATCAACCAGGTGGAGTTGTTGTTATCGGGCCCCATCTTCTTCCTAGAAACTTCAAAGATTACCGTAGGAAAATTTATTGTTCACTGTGGAAAACTTAAGCATTATTTACATAGACATATACGAACATATATATTCAATGAAAGGTACAATAAAGACAAAAATAGATATGAAGCAAAGTAAATTTTTTTTATAAATACTTTTTTTTTGTCCCATATCATGTTTACTGACAAGAGATAGAAATTCTGGGTTTTTCTTTTAACAACTTGCTTGGATTTAAAGGACAGAGCTGTTGTCCAACTCCAAAACCAGCTCTATATATTTATAAATATAAATACATACATTTTTTAAGATTTGTGCTTATGGAGCATATTTGATTTTTCTGATGATCCTTTTTTGGTAGTTGTTTTTACATCTGTCAGTATTCAAACATCCAGGGTCCCTTGAATTTTTTGAAGATGAGTGTTTTCCTGCAAAGACAAGAACAGGACCCTGCCCCCATCCTATATGCTTTCCTTACCACCTGTATGGTTATCACTATTGTGGACGAGCTGCCATTTCTCCTTTCCAAGAGGTTTCTCCTCTTCAAACTGAATCTTTATTAATTTTGATGGTATCCACAATTTTTCTTTTCCTGTGGAAATAAGAGCAAAATCCCTTTCCCAACGCAGCACATCTCCTGGCTTCCATTGCGAGATCAGCACATCCTTGGAATAAACTGGTTGATTTAATTCAGAAGACTTTTCCATTATCCAATGTCTCTCTGCTGTTGTTGTCCCTTTCTCATTAGCATTAAGAAAATTCAAGGTTAATAAAGCATTATGCAATCTATTTTTGGGGGCATCTCCACCCCTTTCTGTTTGTTTAACATATCTTTTATGGTTTGATTTTATCTTTCTATAACTGCCTGACCTGTAGGATTATTTGGTATACCTGTAACATGCTTAATATTATAATAAGCAAAAAAACCTGTTTCATTTTCCTAGAGACACACGCTGGACTATTAGCTGTCTATTTGTGCAGGTATACCCATGATGGCCATAACTTCTAATAAATGTATGATTACTGAATCAACCTTTTCTGAACTTAAAGCAGTTGCCCACTAAAAGCCTGAATAAGTGTCAATGGTGTGGTGTACATATTTTACTTTTCCAAATTTTGCAAAGTGAAACACATCCACCTGCCAGATTTCATTCCTTTGAGTTCCCTTTGGGTTACTCCCTGCAGGTAGCAGTGTTTGGTTATATAAAGAGCAAGTAGGGCATCTCTTTATAATCTCTTTAGCTTGCTGCCATGTAATGGAAAACTCTTTCTTTAAACCTTTGCTATTGACATGATGTTTTTATGAAATTCTGAGGCCTGTAACATGCTTCCAATCAATAATTGATCAATTTCTGCATTACATTGTGCTAGAGGACCTGGCAAACCCATATGGAATTGGATGTGTGTTAAGTATATAGGACAAAACCTAATTTTGATTATGTCTTGCACCTGGATAAATAATGAAGTCAATTCTGTATCATCTGGCATAAATTCACTGGTTTCAATATGTAAGATAACTCTTTCTGCATATTGTGAATCAGTAACTATATTAAGGGGTTCTTTAAAATCCCTTAGCACCATGAGAATGGCATTAATTCTGCCTTCTGGACAGAATTATAAGGGCTTTGTTCCACCTTGCTTAATTCTTCTGATTTGTAACCTGCCTTCCCTGATTTATTTGAATCAGTATAAAATGTATGGGCTCCAGTTATTGGTGCATCACGTACAATTCAGGAAAGAATACAAGACGTTCTCTTTATAAGGTTAAGTCTATCTCTTTTTTTGGGATAATTGCTACTAATTCCTCCCCCCAAAAAAGTACAAACTCTTTGTCATGGTTCATTGTCTTCCCATAACTTTTATATTTCTCCAGTAGTGAAAGGCACTATAATCTTGGCTGGGTCTATACCTGCTAATTGACAAAGTCTCAATTTACCTTTTATAATTAATTCAGAGACTTTTCGCATATGTTTTTAATTTTTTACTTGGCTTATGTGGTAAAAAATTCATTCTAAAATAATATGATCCCTTTGCATTAAAATTCTCATAGGAGCCGGGCGGTGGTGGCGCATGCTTTTAATCCCAGCACTCGGGAGGCAGAGGCAGGCGGATCTCTGTGAGTTCGAGACCAGCCTGGTCTACAAGAGCTAGTTCCAGGACAGGCTCCAAAGCCACAGAGAAACCCTGTCTCGAAAAACCAAAAAAAAAAAAAAAAAAAAAAAAAAAAATTCCCATAGGAGAAATTCTGGAAGCAATGTGACTAGAATACAGTTAAGATTTGGATTTACCCTATCCACGTGTGCCTCCTTCAATTTTTCCTCAACAATTGTCAATTCCTTTTCTGCTTCAGCTGTTAATTCTCTGGAACTATTCAAATCTTTATCACCATTTAAGGTTGTGTTTAAATGAATTATTAGATCAGGTGTTACCCCAACAGCCGGTCATAGACTGGAAATGTCTCCTAACAATCTTTGGAAGTCATTAAGAGTCTTTAACCGGTCTCTCCTAATTTGTGCCTTTTGTGTCCTAATTTTCTGCAAACCTATTTTATAACCTAGGGAACTATAGTGTGAGCCAATATTATGGATTAGGACTTTAGCACAGAACCTGAGTGGATGACCAGTTCATGGCTTCCAAGGCAGCAATGGAATTGGGACTTGTGCCCGTGTTTGTAATTCTAGCTCAGTAGACTTTCAAGACTTTATCTGTTTCATTATTCTGGGAGGAAACACAAGTCACCATATTCTGAGTCAACTATGGTAACAATACATGAACATCTTTCAGAAATGGACCCACATGTGTGTGTATGTGTAAACAAACACATAAGTTCCCAGTAATTACCAGAAACTGTATAAATTCATAATTATTGTCTAAAATCCCAAAGGTTTTAGAACACAGTCTATACCATGAGAGAGTGGTTAGGACGGCCCTGTCTTCCAGCCTCCCCAGATCTCATGCAGTTACAGCACTCAGAGGCTACGCTCGAGTAATCCATCCTTTGCTCTCTTTTCCCCTCCCACTCCTCTTCACTTTCTAAACTCCGCAGGTGTAGCACCTCCCTTTATTTTCCTCCCTTTATAAGTAATAGATTGCAGACGTGCAAGACAGCTCAGTGTGTAAAAACACTTCTGTGGAAGCTTGATGACCTATGTTCTTTCTCTGGAAACCCCCCTCCCCCATAAAAAAGAGAACTAATTCCCCAGAGTTCTCATCTGACTTCTGCATACACACGGGGCTGGCTAGATTTTGTCAACTTGACAAAAGCTAGAGCTGCCTGGGAAGAGGAAATCTTAATTGAGGATGTGCATCAGTTCCTGCCTCAAGCTCCTGCCCTCCACAAATGGCCTATAACGTGTAAGAAGAAATAAACCCTTTCCTTTCCAAGTTGTTTCTGTCAGTGCTTTATCACAGTAGCAGAAGCACAGCAGAATATGCACCGTGGTTCATGAGTGCTCATAATCATACACAAAACACACATACACATGCCTCTCAATAATACATAAAATTTAATTTTAAGAGAACGTGGCCTAGCAAGATGGCTCAGGGGATAAGGGAACTTGTCACCAAGCCTGACAAGCTAAGAGTGATCTCTGAGACCCACAGAGTAGAAGAAAAGAACTTCTTTCCTCTGACCTTCACACACGTGCTGAGGTAATTGAACATGTATGCACACACACATGCGTGCGCGCACACACACACGCTCACACATAAATAAATAAATGTAGTAAAACTGTTTCATCCTCCAGTTCCCAGCAGCCATCGATTGCCAATAGCTACCCAGCTAGGGGTATTATTACTTTGTGAGACCCTCCATGATCTATGCCAGAGTTCCTGTCTGGCTTGACTCTCTGCAGTCACAGTTCACGTGAGCTTCTATGTACAGCAGTCCTGTCTTCTCTGGAAAACCCATGCCCATACTGGTAGGGTTGGCTGTGCAAAGGTCCTTGCGCTTTCAGGCCATGAGGGAAACCTGGAAGGTTTGCAAGGCTTGTCTTTTTAAAGAAAAGGATATATAATTTGGTTTTCCACCCATAAGACTGGGAATGGAAGGGATTAATAGCCTGGTGATCTGTTATCTGAACCTAGCCATACCAACCTCCTACAACCAGGATCTACAATACCTAATAGTCTTTACATTATCTGTGTGACCAGAGGCTCCCCCACGCTCCAACAACCAGGACCAGAGGTGGCTGATATCCCGATGACCTCTATGCTGTGGGTCTGACTGGGGCCTATCAGCAAATACAGGTTCTATCTCTAGAACCTCTATCTTGGAAGATGTGACATGTACTTTGAGTTGAGTTTCAATGGAATTATGCCTCCTTGTGCACAGGGGATTATATTACACCAGGAAAGTGTTTCCCAAGTTACCCTGTGCTCATCTAAATATGCGTACAATAGACTGCTCGGGTCAGACTCTATAAGTGTGAGCCAGCACGGGCTGTCTTGCTGAACCTGGCTTCCTTCTTGCCTCTCTCAGATCATTGCTGGCCCTGGTAGTCTCAGAGACCCCCGTACTGGCAGCACTAAGTGGAATCATTGGATTATAAAAAGAAGACAAGAAATTGGGATGGTAAAGTTGAGGAGTGTGGGAGGGGCTGGAGGGAAATGGGAGGATGGCTCTGAGGAAAACACAGTCTATACATGTTTCAAATTTTCAAACAATAAATATTTAATAAATAAATTAAGATTTAATAAATCTTAAAATATTTGAATTATGTTATCTTCAAAATCTCTCCATTCCACAATTCTATTAAATAATCTTTCTGTACAGTTTTCACTTTTAAAAATTATTTATTATTGTACACACGAATGTATGATACATGTTGCTCTGGCGCATGTGCTAGGGCATACGTGTGGAGGTCATGAGGTTATGCTACCTCTGGAGCTAAGAGAAGAGACAGTTTCTGGATGAGATTCAGATCCTGGAGAAAGATGAGAGGAATGAGGGCGGCCATGGATTGTGCCATTGGCAGCAACAAATGGACGGGGATTTCATAGACTAATAATAATAGTTCATAGAATAATACCCAAGTCAAATTCTGGGGACTTTCACTTTGAATGTTGTTTATAGCAGAGACTTCCAGACAAGGATTTCATCATTATGAAACCTTTATTTATAGCCATCTTTATGAACATATCACAAGCAAAATGTCCCCCGATTTCCTTTTCTTCTTCAGTCTCTCTCTTGTATATATTCTACTCAACTTTTTTTTTTATTATCAACTCTATTCCTTGTCTATTTAAACAGAAACATACAGTTTAACATGGTGGCCCACACCTGTAATCCCAGCACTCTGGTGTTGGAGGCAGGAGGATCAGAAATTCAAGGTCATCTCAGCTATATAATGAGTTCAAGGCTAGAATCGGCTGCACACAAACTTGCCTAAAACAAATGAAAACCTGAAGAGGAAAACAGGTTCAGAATAATATGTGGGAAGGGACTGACAAGAAGAAACTGCTTTCCCAAGTCCTTGGCCTTCACTTTCCTCAGCCGTGGTCTCTCGCCCTCTTGATCCCACAGGACTCACACAATTGCCCTTTTTCTAGTCCTGATTCTTGAGTTCATCAAAGGGAAGGAAAGACATTGGAGTGGACTCTTCCCGTCTTCCCAGCCTCAGACTTTCCCTTCGCCACCATGGACACCTTGGCCTCTGTCTTGCTCCTCCTCCCCGCCCCCATGAATACCCCCATCTCACCCTGGTAGACCTGCATGGCTTCAGGTCTCTCTGCAGTCCAAGTCTTTTAGGAGGGTTTCCTTCTTGATGCTTTTATTTGTTTTGTTGAGTTTGATTTGGTACTTTTAAAAAAGTCTCGAGTCCTTGTCCTCCTATTTCTGCCTCTTGAATGCCGGGATTTCCAGTGTGCACCACCATGTCTAGACCTAATGGGGAGACTCTACAGGCAGCCTATGGAGCTAGCTATGGGCCTAGCTACCCTAGGAAGAATTTTGTTGGGAAGATGTAGGTATCCTGCAGATGGGAGAATAAACGCTAATTGCCGAGAAGGGGGGGGGCATTTAATCCCTCCACATTCCTACATCAATTTCCCAACTGTCCCAATGTCCTTTTCTGGTCCCTATACTTTGACTGAAGTTTGATTTTTGTCGTTCCAGAATCTTCTGCTTGCTAAGTAGGCACTCTATTAATGAGCTCCGGCTTTAGCTCCCAGCGAGCTGTACTTCCTTCATTAAAATTCCTAACTGATCCTTGTGGAGTTATTCCTGGAAGGCCCATTTCCCACGAGTTCCAGAACCACCTGTTCCTTGGTACAGATCATATACACAGAGGGAGTTTATGAGCTTCCATGTCTAGGGTGGAGGAAAATACCAACAAGAAGAAAGCATTCTCATCTGCACTACGTAACGAGACTGCTTCAAAACACTGCATACAGAGCTGGAGGATGCTCGCTGGTTAGGAGCTCTGGCTGCTCTTCCAGAGGACCAGGGTTTAGTTCTGAGCACTCCACGGCTGCTCACAACCATCTGTAACTCCAGTTCCAGAGGATCTGCTGCCTCTTCTGCCCTCTGCAGGCACCAGATAAACATGTGGTTCATGGTATACATGCAAGCAAAACACCCATACATATGAAATAAATAAATATTAAACAATGTATAAACAAAATAAGCAAACAAAAAAGAATAAAGTCTTCTTTCAGGGGTAGGGACGTAGCTCAGTTGGCAGAGTACCTGCTTAGCATGCAGGAAGTCTTGAGTTTGATCTCGGCCACCAATCAGGTGTATATGCCTGTGAACCCAGTGCTTTCAAGACAGAGGCAGGAGGATTAACAGCTCAAGGTCATCCTTGACTATATAGGGAGTTATAAACCAGCCTAGGATACAAGAGACCCTGTCCTCAATCAAGGTGGGGTAGCACATGCAACCCTAGCACCCAGGAGACGGAGGCAGGACTTTGAGTTTGAGGCCAGGCCAGGCTACACACCCAGTTCAAAGCCAACCAGAGCTGCAGTAATAAGAATCTTTCTAATGATAACGACTTTTAAAAGCAAGCAACCAATACAACTTTTCAACCCTCTCATAATTTCTTCCCTTTGTCACTGTCATTGTATTCTTATCCCTTCCTCCCTCGAACATGGCCGATCCTCAGTCACCCAGCAGGTTTGTTTTGGTGCTGAGTAGGGACCAAAGGTATGTGCTGCACACTGGGCAATGTCAGGATGCAGGCAGGCATCTCGGCGCGAGGCTTGGGCAGAGTTCCCAGGCAGAGCCAGCGGTCCAGACCAGGGCAGTAGGCATGGACAAGGTGGGAGATGGCGTACGTTCGGTGACTGTAGCCCCCCAGTACCAGGAGCTCCCCCTGTAAAACAGCACCTGCAGCCCCGACATGCGAGGAGGGCAGGGGTGCCAGGTGAGTCCAGCTATCCATCTTCGGTTCATAGACCTCAAAGCTCAGCAGGTCCCCAGTGTCACCGAGTCCACCCGCCACATACAACCTCCCACCCAGAGCAGCCATCACATGACTAGCCCGTGCTACTCGCATTGGGCTCAAAAGTGTCTCAGGCTTCTCAAGTTTGGGGTCATAGATCATCAAGGAGTCCAAGAACTGGCCGGTCCCACTATAGCCACCGCTTACATACAATCGACCCTCGAGGATTGCAGCTGCATGGGCGAAACATGGTACTGGAAGAGCAGGTGCCGGCCTGAGGGAGAGCAGAACAGAAGATCAGGCAACCGGCATGTTCAACTTCATTTCCTTTTACTGTGAGGTAGATCTTGCTATAGCCTAGGCTCCCGCTTTCACCTCTGAAGCGCTGGGATTGCAGGTGTGTGCCACCGTGCCCAGCTTCACTCTCCTGTTCCAAATCTAGTTTCTCCCCATGGCGCTTTGCCTGCTTACCTCCAGACGTTGAGTTCAGGATTATAGGTCTCAACGGAGTTAAGGGCAACACCATTGCCCCGTCCACCCAGGGCATAAAGCTCTCCATCAAACACCACCAGAGGGAAGAAGCTCCGAGCCTGGCACAAGGGTGCCATTTCCTCCCAGTCTTCTTGACTGGAGCTCCACCTGGACACAATGGGAAAGATACGGAAAGGGTGACCCTTGGAGCCTATGGCTCGCCAGATTGACACTTTCTCTTGCTTGCCCACATGGGGCCTACTACACATTGATGGTACCTGAGAGTTGAAGCCAGAGTGTTGCTATTGCTGTAGAAATCCTGTCCCCCACAGACATAGAGTTCACTTCCTGTTAGGCTTGCAGCACCATGGCGAAAGCGCCCTGGGGCAGGCAGGTCTGGCAGCCGGCACCATTCCACAGTGCGTACCAGACCCATGCCACAGCGGAAAGCCCGGGCCCACCACACTTTGCAAGATGGCTTTCTTCGGTCCATGTTAGGTCTAAGCCCATCCCCACCAATCACCACCAGCGCTTGGTCAGGCTTCCTCCACCTCTCTTGACCTGGTATTTCGGCTTCCACCATCAGCTGGTTCAGCAGATCGGGGGACAGAGGTGGAGGGAGCCCAGCTGCCCGCACCTTTCTCAGCTCTCGGGTAGACATGCGACCGAAGCGGACACATCGCAGCAGGTCCTTGGCCTCTGACTCCTGGGTCTCAGGGTTCGCAGCCAGCCAGCGCCGTGCAGCCATGAAAGCCTCAAACTCTTCCTGTACGTGGAGCTCATCACTATCCAAGAGCTCAGCCAGGCAGGTAGCCGGTAACGACGGGAAAGTAGGGCACAAAGACACAGCAGGCAGATGAGAGAGGAGGTAACGATGGGCTTTTCCCCAGACTTTCTCCAAACCAGGAGCTTCGACCATAGGAAACAAAGCCAGGCAAAGAGCAGGGCAGAGGCTTTGAGCCAAGGCTCTCTGACACAAATCCAGGCAAGAGGAGCTTTGGTACTGCAGCGCAGCCTGGGCTACTCTTAACAATCCTGGCCATCTTTCTCGTACAACTCCAGAGTAGGCAAACGAAACGAGGAGTCTCAGGTCTTGCGAAGAGATGGTACGCAGAGACACTTTTGTGCCCTGGGACTCCCTCATCCCACTCAGAAGCATGGCCCCAAAGAACTCGCTGCCACAGGCCAGGGCTACTCGGTGCACTGCAATAGGGAGGAAGCAAAGGAAAGCCACACTGTTGCGAGGCCGCTACCTCCGATCCTAACATAAGCCTGACTTATAGCATTGCTATTCCAATGATGTATGTGGGAGCTTTCGTTCTGGGAGTGTAGTTCAGTGCTGTGGCACCCGCCTAGCACACGCAAAGCCTGGGTTTCAGCCCCTCGCTGCCCATTCCTGGATTATGATTCCATAGGTCCCTATAGTAACTTGGAGAATCTTTGCTTTAATATCTTTCTCTTGCTTTCTGGAAACAGGGCCTCGTTATGTAGTCTTGACTGGTCCGGAACTTAGTGTGCAGACCTGACATGCGCTACTGTCCCCAGACTATTGTAAAATTCTCAAGTGTCATATATTATGCTCATGTTAGTGTCTGGAGGACATTTTAGCATTTTAGGTCCATGTCAGTTAGAAAAACAGTCTTTTCTTTTTTGGATTTTCTGTGCAGCCCTGACTGTCCTGGATCTCTATAGACCACACTGGCTTCAAACTCACAGAGATCCACCTGCCTCTGCCTCCCAAGTGCTGAGATTAAAGGTATGTACCACTACCACCCAGCTAGAAAAACAGTCTTAATGCATGCAGATGAGAAAATCCTGTATTCACTGTTTGCTAATAGGGAACACAAAACAAACTGAATAGACCAGTGGACAACTTTAAAGGCTTCCGTGCACTGTGAACAAAACCAAGAGATGCTTTTCATTTATAGCTGCAAGAGTCACAGTCATCAGCCACCCCACCAGAACTGCTGTAAGTCCAGTTCTAGGGGACTGGACACCTTCTTCTGGCCTCTGTAGGTATCAGGAACACATGTGGTACATGGCATACATGCAGGCAGTCACGTACACATAAAATAAAACAAATATACCTTTAAGAAAAGAAAGAAACAACAGAGGGCAGGCAAGATGGGTCAGTGCGTAAAGGGACTTCTCATCAAGACCGATCAAGGCCTTTTGAGCTACATGGAAGGAGAGAGCCACTTCTTGTGAGCTGCCCTCGACTCTGGAAGGTCCTGCTTCTCACACACACACATACTCTCACACACGTGAACTGCTACTCACACACACACATACTCTCACACACGCATAATTATATGCAATACTTTTTTTTAAGTAGAGAAGGGTTTTTGTTTTAATAGAATTGGGCTTTGTGTTGAAGGCTACAAAGCCCTAGTTACATGAAGGCAAGATGATCATGAGTTCAAAGCCTGCCTGGGCTAAAGAATGCATTCAAGACCACCCTGGGAAACTTGGTGAGACTCTATCCAAAGAAAAAATAAAACAGAAAGTAAAAGCTCAAATATCCCTTTCAAAGATTTGTCTTAATTGTTTTCAGTTATGTCCATGTGTGTGTCTATGTGTGGGTGGGTGCACGTGAGAATGGGTTCTTATGGAGGCCAGACAGCTGTGGTCCGCCCAGTGACAATGCTGGGAGCTGCACTTGGGTCCTCTTCTCTGTTTGCTTTAAAACACATATTCCTCAGTAAAATGCCAAGCAGAATGATGAAATGAACTAGACATAATGGCATCCAGTGGGATGAACGTTTGAGTGTTAATTTTTGCTTTGTGTTTGAAGTGTTTCGTGATAGAAAGAGTTTCTGCTAGAAACTGTCTCAGGAGGTCTTAGTCAGGTCTCTGTGTTCCCCATGATTGAATCTTTTGAATTCCACACTGTTTTTAGACCAGTTGTGGAAAGTGTACCTCTCAGAGGGCAGCTGAGGATAATGATGTCTCTATTGTCTTTCTAAGCAGTAGGTAGTAGCCTGGTGTGTCCCAGATAACAAGCACTAGTTAGAGCTTCCTAGTCCATGTTGTCTGAGAAAATCTACATTCTGGGAAATCAGCTTTCATATCAGCAGCATCTGTATCTGAGACTCAGTTGTGAAAAGCTCACAGCCACTTGGAATCTCCCTCTTACTCATTGCTGTACCTTAAGATTTAAAGTGATGGGTTCCCATGTAGCATTATGACTATGTGGGAACCCCAAACCTTCATGAAAATGTTATAATTATGAAACTGTAAAGCATCACCCTCTAGCTGATGCCGTGAGGCAGAAAGTCATGGATAGCTCTCCTTCCGGAGAACCTCCGCTAAGCACTCACGGGTGTGACTGAGCACTTCTGGAACCAGCAGAGTCTGGCCCTGAACTCCTGACAACCCTCCCTTTGTAGCCACCTAAGTGCTACAGCTGTGTGTCACAAGGCCCTAGATTTGTTTTTTCTTTCCCTTTTTATTTTGGTTTGTGAGATAGGTACTCACAATTTAGTTTTTTTAATTAATCAATTTTGAGACAGGATTTCTCTGTGTATCCCTGGCTGTAATAGAGCTCCCTCTGTAAACCAGGCTGACCTCAGGCTCAGCGATCCACTGCCTCTTCCTCCCGAGTGCTGGGATCAAAATGTGGGCCACCACCACCCAGCAACAGTAGAAAAATTACAGTTATAAAGTAACAACGAAAATAATCTCATGGTTGGGGGTCACCACAACACCAGAAACTATATCAAAGGGTCCCGGCAGTAAGAAGGTTGATATCCACTGGTTAGAGGAAGCAGACTAGAGTCTGCTGCCAGAGTCAAGCACACCGAGGAGAAAGGACACATTGGGAGACTTCTACGGACTGTCTCTTGTTGGCTGTGTGCTTAGACGATGTCAAGGGCCTCTGGCTAACCTGAGCCAGTCAGTCACTTTCTGCTTGTTTTACTGCCATGGACTGAACTGTAAGCCCCAGCCAGCTGGCTGGAAATCTGGCTACTGGGCAAGGGGGGAAAGCGCCTGAACTATCAGTTCAAATTTGTTAGGGCATCTAGGAAAACAATTCAACTGCGCATGCGCATCTCTTGGTGGCGCTGGAAAAGCACCAAAAAGGACATACTTGCTGGAGCGATGATCCAAAACTCTGACACCGGGCGGGGGGGGGGGGGGGGGGGGGGGGGGGGGGGGGGGGCAGTGTAGAATGGAAGTGAGGACTTAGGCTCCATCCCTAGCACCGCAAAATAAACAAAACCCTGAGACATGCATTCTTAGCAGTTGCTCCCAGGCCCTCACCCCGCAGGCGGTAGCCCTCTGCTTCCAACTCCAAGTCGCACCCGACGCCCTCTCGATAGAGACGCTCAATGCTGTGCAGGTTCTCCCTCAGCTCCTCTGCCTGGCTGAGCTTCTCTTCGTCTTCGCTGGCTTTGCCATGCCCTTCTGACCTCACCCGGGCCGCATTCTTCACCCGGGGCGCTCCCAGCGCCTCTGCAGCAGCCAGCACTTCGCCCTGCGAGGCGGGGCCCAGCACCCCCTCATAGGCAAAGGTCATTGCAGCCTCCCAGCCCCTCCGGGTCACGTCGAGGCTGAAGCGTGGCTGCTGACCTCCACCGCCCCGCAGCCTGCCTTGGAAGAGGCTGCTGATTGCAGCCAAGATCACCCGATGCACCCCGTATACCTGTCCCCCTACTGACACCTCCTCATCCAGCAGCAACTTCTGCTCCCGCAGCCTCTGTGCTTCAGCAAAGAACTGACCGGGGTGCTCCATGCTGCACAGCAGCTCAGGTTCTGCCGAGTCGTCGCAGTCATCCTGTTCCTTCCGGTTCTCCAGGGATGAAGCTGGAAAGAGAAGGTTTCCTGAAACCAAGAGGCTGGGGTCAGGCTCTGCCGGAGAAAAGGAAAGCAAACCAGGGTCCTCGTCGGGAGAGGGAAACCAGGAGGAGGTTCTTCGGGCAGGTAAAGGGAGTTCAAGGCCGTCCTTCCGAAAAGAAAAGGAGATATGCTCCAAGTCTGAGGAAAAAAGCTCACGGCTCAGGCTTGTGAGATTGCTGGCGAAGGCACGAGCGAAGGATGCCTGATATGCGCCCAGAAAAGCAGAGCTGTTTGCAGTTCACAGAGCGATCAGCCCCTCGCTCCACCCCAAGGGGACACGCTAACTTTGGAATAGTAACTGTAGGGTTCTCCGAGTGCAACAAAACCACAAACACCTGTAGCCATCAGGCCAGGGTCAAGCCCGCCTTTCCGCTTGCTTTAGCCCCAGGCAGGAGACGCCAGGCTTCCGCTTGCCCTCACTTGAGTCCCCACTCTGCTTAGGACCGCTGTGTACCGATCCCAGCAGCGGGCCCCACTTGGCTAATTATAGCTAGCCCGAGGACTAGGGCTGGAAGCTGACACCCAATGCACTGAGCCAAGTCCTGGGATGACTTCCCCCTTCCTTCCCTTCCACCTGTAGGTCATATGAGGGTGCTGAATGGAGAAATTGCAAGGCAGAAAGAATGCAGACTTGGTGAAGTGAGACAGGCCAGCACTGTTTTCATGACTGGTGGCAGGGAGTCAGCGAAGGGGTCTGAAGTCTATACTGTACAACACTTGAGGTTTGGTTTACCTTCCTTCTCAATAGCTGTAGGATTTGGGGAAAAAAAATTCTTAACCTCTGCCGGACTTAGTCCTGGTTGGTGGTTACAATTGCTGTACGTCCATAATTCCAGAAGGTTAAGCAAAAACCTCCACAGCAGCCTAACACTTTACACATCAGTAAAACCAAACTGAAGGTGCAAACCAAAGTTGTATATTTTTAAAAACTGGTTTTAGGGCTGGGCGATGGTGGCACATACCTTTAATCCCAGCACTCAGGAGGCAAAGGTAGGCGAATCTCTGAGTTCGAGGCCACCCTGGTCTACAAGAGCTAGTTCCAGGACAACGAGGGCTGTTACACAGAGAAACCCTGTCTCAAAAAAACTAAACAAAACAAAAACCTGGTTTTAGTAGATAATGTCTTCCCTTTAGTCTACGCTTGCCTGCAGTCCCAGTCTTCCCGTGGAAGGGCCATGAGTGGGGGAATTACAGGCATGCACCACCAGCAGTCAGAAAACTGAATTCTAATGGCTCTTGTCCTTCCCTACCCCCTGAGCCATGGCCTCTAAACCAGAGGGGAGCAGAGAAGCGAGGCTGTAGGTCCAGCTGGACCAGGGATTCTCAAGGCTGCATCAGCAGGCTGTCCACCAATGAGAGCTCTCCAGCTGGGCTTCCCCGGCCCCCCACCCCATGTCACACATCCCAGCACTCAGAGCTACCTCCTGGGTACCAAGTGATGTTTTCCACATACCCCACCTTGTGGCTGAAGTCTACCTCAGAAAGGACAGGATCAGTAACCACGTAGGACCTACAGCCTACAGGGTTACAGGATCCCGTTGCCTGTCAACTTTCCCATGACTGTCCTCAAATGCTGGTGACCACAACCCAGCTAGATCTCTGATCTGAACTCTGAGCTTTCTCCAGGGTCTGCTTAAATACACTCAGGTAGGGTTAGAAAAGTAATCAAGAAACCCAAATTTCCTACATGACTTTCCAAATAGCTTTCCCTAAACCCAAATGGTTCCTGAAAGTTTAAGACTTTAAAACAATTTTATATAGTCATTTCAAAGGATTTTAAAGTTATTTCATTGATTCTGAATGTATTATTTTAACAATTTAACACTAATAACCAAGAATTTCCACTACTACTTCAAACTTACAGGAAATATAGGCAGAGGAAGCTCAAGGAACTTGCCAAGTGTTCTGTATGGTCTAAAGAGTGTTCTGTAACAGCCATGCCTTCACAAATGAGTTTATCAAATACACAGAAGTTAATAGGAAAAGAATAAATAGCAAACAGTTGTAGTGGCTTTTTCTTTTTTATTTATTTATTTATTATGTATACAGTATTCTATCTGCGTGCATGCCTGCAGGCCAGAAGAGGGCACCAGACCCCACCACAGATGGCTGTGAGCCACCATGTGGTTGCCGGAAATTGAACTCAGGACCTTTGGAAGAGCAGGCAATGCTCCCAACCACCGAGCCATCTCTCCAGCCCCTGTAGTGGCTTTTTCATAGGGCCGCCAGCTCACAAAAAATGACAGATTTTTTATTAATTATGAAAGCTCAGCCTACAGCTTAGGCGTGCCCCACTACCTCGTACAGCCTACATTAATTTAACCCATTTCTACTCGCCTTTGTGTTGCCACATGGCTTTTTCCTCTCCTGCATGTCCTTGCTTCCTCTGCCTCTGACTGGCAACTTCCCCTTTCTTTTTCCCATTGCTCTCTCTCTCTCTGTCCAGAATTCCCACCTATACCTCCTGCCTAGCTATTGGCCATTTAGCTTTTTATTAAACCAGTCACAGTGATGCATCTTTACACAGTGTAATCAAAACAAGTAGATAGACCATTAGACAATAAGACACTACCAAATTGGGCACCTATAATCACCCAGCAGAAATTGGCTAGAGATGTCTCGTTGCGGGAGCCAGCGGGGTTCAAGCAGAGAGTCATGGGTGCAGCAGAGTGTCCTCTTGGATAGGCTGCCAAGTAAAAACACAACAGCAAACAACAGACAGGGAACATCATCAATAAGTCATACCAGAGAAACTGAGGCAATCGGCCAGAGCTCTTGATTGAGAGCGCTCTTTTCACAGATGAACTAGCTTCCTATGGCTGAGGCACTGGCTTCCCATTTCCACCGGCAGAAGGAACAAACAATCTTCACTCTTGTGATATTAAGGGATAAACAATCATCACCCTTGTTGGAGATGGTTTACCTCAGCTGTTCTCAAGATCACAATGCTCCTTACTATTCTGAGATACCTGTTGTTCCTTCTTCCTGTCAGAGACAAGAGAGGTCAGATCTTGTCTAGGTATGAGCTGGGGGTCTCAGAGGACACTTGGAGACAAACAGAATTAAGTTTGAAAAGGGGGTGGGGTCCAACCCAGCTTCTCAGTGAGCTCAAACAGTGTGGTGGTCTGAATGAGAATGGGCCCCATAGGCTCATGTGTTTGAATGCCTGGTCCCCAGTTAGTGGAACTGATTAAGAAGGATTAGAAGGTGTGGCCTTGTTGGAGAAGGTTTGTCACTGGGGGTAAGCTTTGAGATTTCAAAAGCTCTTGCCATTTCAAGTTAGCTCTTTCCCTGCCTTATGGCTGTTGTCTCAACATATGAGTTCTCAGCTACTGCCCCAGGGCCATGCCTGCCTGCTCTCATTCTCCCTGCATTATGGCCATAGCTTCTATTGACACTGAAATTATAACCAAGCTCCCAATGATAATGCTTTCTAGGTTGACTTGGTCATGGCGTCTCTACACAGCAATAGAAAAGCAAGACAAACAGTCTGTGAGTTTTCCAACAGTCTGTGTGTGCATTCCTCAAGGGTCCCACAAGAGGCACGATGGCAGATCAAACCCAGGCCAGTAGGACAATTATCCCATTAGTGTCTGGATGCATTGTTTCTCTGGTCCTTCAGTGTATGAATGTGATTTCCAGGTGTGACAGGACTCATCAAGAAAATACATCCCATCCCTGCACCACACGCACACGAGACAGTGAGCTGAATGTGACCCACCATGCCTTTGGGTCTTTCAATTCCTCCTTTATAAGCTCTTGCCTTTGAGAAGGACCTAGGCCTTATAGCAGGGATGAAAAGATTTTCCCAAACCATCACAGTGATTAGACTCACAGATTGTGTGCTAAACACTGCCAAGAGTCCAGTGTAAGGAGTCTCTGGGATGTGCTTGATATTAAAATTACAGCACAAGCGTTTTATTTTGAACTGGCTGGTACACAGTAAATGAGGCAAGCAGAATCCAGCTGACTTCCAGAGAAACAGAAAACTTGAAAATTTGTCCCTTTCCCTTAACGGCATTCTTTTCTGAAGTCTGAGTATTCGGCACTGGCATGCCATTCTAGTACCCCATCCTTAGAGGACACACTCCAGAAAGCAGAGTCAGGATGTGCCCCAGACATTCACCACAGGGGCCATGGTCCACCACACGGGCTTTGCTGTTGTTACAAGAGTGCATATCCCAGTTCAGAACAGTGGGGAAGACCAGGACAACCTCACGATTTGCTATCACCTGACTTTAATATGCTGTAATAGTGTTAACTGTTAACCTGATGGAGTCCACAGTCACCTAGGAGCTAAACCTTTGGGCATCCTCCTGAGGGATATTTAGGTTGAGGTAAACCTCTGACAATGGCTGTGAAGGATTATCTTGGTTATGTGAATTGGTGTGGGAAATCCCATCTCTTTTT